TCTGGAAAGCCTCTTTAGTAACCTTGTACTCAGGAGCAGGTAACATATTTCTCAACAATTGAATATAACAAACAGGATCAGAAACAAACAGAATCAGATGTTTTGCGAATCACTATACAGGGTGCGCGCGCCACTTCCGGCCGCCATGACAGGGGGAGAGAAACACTTCCGGTTTTCCGATGTTTACCTTATGTTTGGGTGGGCGCGCAACGACTCTTGGTTCACTGTGAACAATTCTGTGAGAGCTACGCTCTAAAAATTCCCCAGTGTCGTGCCTCTAAGCTGCCGATGCGTACCGGCACAAAGAAAATGTCACAAGTGAAGTTATTTCGATTATATCGAAGCGGGGGACAACACCGACGCCTCCGAGCCTGGGTGATCGCAGGACGACGGCAATGGCAAACGATGCTAGCTGTGCTAGCTTGCTTCGATGTGCTACCGACAGATGGCGCAACGCGACAAACGTGAGAATGCGGCGCCGGTGCCGCCGCGCCTCGACCGACCGACCATCTCCCTACAACGATGGGCAGCTACGGCACGTACAAATGCAATGTGCCCGGAGATCTTGGAAAGAAGCATTTACCTAAGCAAGCGAGTCAAAGTACTAGAAAATTGTGCATTACAGAGATTCGTGTCGCGCTAAAGGAAGCGTAATAATAACTCTCGGAAGGTTGTCTGCTAAAATCAAAACCAGGCTCGGCAACCCACGTGGGGAAGCATGGCGCGTATCTTCGGTGCTTGGGGGATGTAAGTGTGCACCGCCAATGCCTTGCCGTTCACGAAGTAGTTGAACGCGTTTAGGGATTCGTAGGTTTTAAGTCATTCTCAGGTATATGAACCACGCTAGTGGAATAGGTAGTCCTGGAGATGCGCCCGCGGTACCTTCGGAAGATTTGTCGTTTCCTCGAGGAAAAAGTGATCGTTCTTTTCCCTCAAGGCAACAGGAAGGGATGTCGATCCCGTGTAAGTAAATTTTAGGAGGTACCGCAGTTAGTCCACGGTGGTGACACTTTTACAGTATGCGCTACTCACTGACGGTCATCAAAAACAAGCAAAAACAATAGCCAACCGGAAGTAACATGCCCCCTCTGGACGTTCGCCCATTGTTTATTTTTGTTTACCTCCGCACACCCTGTATACAAACACTTGCGCCAAGCTTCAACGCAACAGCGAAAAAGTTTACCTACCCCATGACCCAAATTAATCAAACTTGCTTTGATCAGTCGCAAAATTCAGTTTCGCGTCGTGCGTCAATGTAATTAATTAACTGCTGTATATAATTTCTGAAATTAGAACAAATTTATTTTTTAAAACATTACGCTCAAAAGCAACTTTCTCTTATGAAGCCTGTTTTACTGTCAAGTAAATCATTCGTACGCTTTTGGAACTTTTGATTCGTCAAAAAAGGAAACATCAAAATATAGTTACTAGCTTATTTACAATCCCCATATTTTTTTAATGAAATAACTCCCCAGACTTATAAATCTGTTTATTTTCACGTTACTTAACACCATAAAAATAGTTTTCAACAAAGCTTAAAAAAAAAGAAAATTGTTTTGACAGAAATTATATTGCTGTAGATCGCAGAACCGATTTTAAAAACGGATAATTTTGTTGACCTACGCTCTCCGTCGATATTAACTCCCGTGATAGCAACCTATAATGAAATCAACAGCGTTGCAATCACGATTGCTTTACAATAACAGTGGTAGCTTTGAACAGGTAAAAAAATCAATAAACATTTACATAACAAAGACTAATTTAAATCGTGGTTGTAACCAGCTAGCAAGCTGTTCTAGCTGAGCAAGTCAGAGGCAAGTTACGCCAATGGGTTGTGGTGCCAAGGTTGACCATGCCCTTCAATTCTACCTAGGTTTCAACGACCTGATAACTTGACTGATAAGGTCGACTTTATGTTCAGGAATACATAGGATCTCTGGTTTTCGGCGTATATTAAGTATTGCTGCCTATTCCGTGCTCAGAAAGTCGCAGTAAATTTGTTCTCCAGGCAAACAAAATATATGTCTTTATTTGCATCACATTTTTTTTACCCAATCTTAAATTTGTACTTCACATTTGTGATAGTCACAGAAACTTCTTTATCTATAGGTTTTGCGATAAATTCTCGAGTTATCACGCCTGATCATACCCTTGTAGTAACTTATTTTCAGTTTGAATTTGTTCCTTCTGCTACTTATTTGTAGCCTAGCTGCTGCTAAATGTAGTAAAATACTTCTGAAACCCAAGTTAGACTAGGCGACATAGAAGCAAAAAACAGCAATTGACCATTGTCTACATTGCGTAAAATTGCAACTAGAAAAAAAAATTGATGTGCGTGTGGTATCACGGTCACGAATGCATCTGACTACACGGCAAAAATACAGCATTTTAATTAAAATGGAATGCAAGGGCGTAAACATATGTCTGCTTTTCTGAATTACAATAAATAACACTTCTTTTAATCATCAAGCACAAAACGTGTTCCAATTTCCATTATTTTGTATTGGTCTCGTCAGTTCAACTGCAAGAGTAATGGTCATAAAAGGCACACTATTCAAAAGAAAACAAAACGTGGACTTTCACAGTCCCTAACATTTAAGAAGCGCTGGGTGTAGAGCGAACCGGACATCTTATTATCGTTCCCCAGTGAATGAGAATGAGGCATTAGCCAATAAAAACTCTGAAGAACCGATCACAAAGTTAGAAAAGCGTGATCCTGATAAACCATGCGCTGCTTTTCCTAAGCTGCGAGTGACTGTGTCGGCCCAACCATAACATGAGTATCAATCGCAGCCAGTCACATACATTACTGGTACTCTGCGCGTAGCAACAAGTATAATTCTCAGTGTAACAACATCAAACAGCCTATCAACAACGAAAAAAAAAAGAGTACTTGACAAAGAGAAATCACACGAGCCCATATGGCTTTTCCTGAGAGGTTATTTGAGTAATAATCAGATATTTAGTTTTTCAGAAAGTCAAGCTCGAGATAACGTATCTCATCTGCTTGGACGTCGTGTGACGTCGCTCTTAAGCGAACGTTGACATATCTGACCGGTTGTTGCGGAACTATTTATGTATTTATGTATTTTCTTTTAATGAAGTAAATAAAACCAATTTTTTCTCCTAGTCTTTTTTTTTTTTTCTTATGTTGACTTGTGCTTGCTTCGTCCCAAAAATAAAAACAAACTTGATAACGTCCAACACTCTACTATCTAAATGAGGAAACTATAAATACCTTCCCGGGTAAATACCTCCACAGAAACTCTAAATACCTTCGCAGTTTAATTTATAGTATATATTATGATTTCTCCCTTTGACATTTCCACTAAACAACGTCTAGGGTCAAGGCGTCAAGATATGTGCTTCTAACAATTCTTCACTGAAAAGTTATCCAGAAATTACTTTTCTGTCAAAATTGAACAGGAAAGTAACCCTGCCCTTATGAGAAAAGAATATATGAGTTTGCAGTCCAGCAATAAAACTAGCAACAAAATAAGAACGATAACATTAAAAGAACAGATCGTAATGCTCGCGAATGAAACGCATATGGACTAGAGCGGCTACACTCCAAGCACGAACTTCATCGCGTAAACTTATTCATCGCTTAAATCATTTGGTGGGAACGTATACGGTCAAGTAGAACAACGAGACGTCAAAGTAAATTGGTAAAAAGGATGGAGTTGTCAAATGACAGGAGCAAGTATGTACATATCCATTAAGCAATATTATTACACTGTACAGTTCCGCCATCCAGGCTGAAACTTGCGTATACGGTGAGAAATTAAGGGTGAGGAGGAGACAAGAGCTTGCAGTGGCGTCAGAGTGACGAGCTCTGATTGAAAGGAGAGTGGGTGGACGCAAAGGCCAGCTGCCTTATTCTCTACCCCCTATCTCTCCTCCAATCAGAGCGAACAAGAGCATCGTCTGCTCCTCTCTGGCGCAGAGTCCGGCGTTCGAACGCCAGACTTTCCATGAGTAGCAGACGATGCTCTTGTCTGCTGATTGGAGGGGAGGTAGGGGGTAGAGACGAAGGAAGCTGGCTAAATTTGCGCATACCTATTATCCATCCAATCAAAGCTCGGCGCTCTGATGCCAACGCAAGCTCTCGTCTCCATCTTTCCTTCAGTTTCTCACCGTATACATGGCTTACACTGACGTCACAGAGCGTATCTCCTCAGCTGCAGACAATTTGCACCACCGAATTTGTTTTCTCGGCAGGAACAGAAAGGGATGACCGCTAGAATGTTGCGTTGACGTCATGTGCGAACCATGTATAGAACTCTATTTTTGGATTCGAGGGATTCGGCTTAGCTTATACGCAGGAGCGAGAATTACCGTGCCTTCATTATATGACACTTTTTTTGCCAATTGGTTTCGTAAGCAGGGAGCCAAGATAACGGCGGCGTCTCAACGGGTTTTACTCTATGGGTGCGAAATCGCCAAGTATTCCCAGATCCCTTGCGTCCGGTCACCAGAATGGAGCGTTCTTTTAAAAGAGCGTGCCATCGAGCAGCAGATGCGCCGTGGTATCCAAGTCCGCAATTGTTTGGGCGCGCACTCTGAACGTGTGCTAAACACTGAGGTGTGCATTCGGGAGCCCTGTCCAGCTCGTGTCGAGAGCTCGGATCCAAACACACGCGTCTTGCCCAAGAAATGGCCGCCGCCAATTCTGCTTCCTGGGGTTTTGAAGAGGGCGCAGATGCATTTATGTGTAAACAGTGTGATGAAAATAAAAAGAAAGTAAAAACAACCGTTCTGCTACGACATTCTACGTAATTTCCTGAAGAATTGAACGCGCAAACAAAATGGCGAGTCAAAAGGAACAAATCTTACGAGACTCGTGCTGGTCACCTCCATTTCCTTCTCAACAGTCTGCACCTGGATCACGCGATTAAAACGAGTAACATGATGTCTACAGTGTACAAACAAATAGCTTTTCCTTCTCTCTGCGATCGCGAAATATTCTCGTGCTCGAACATTTTCCGTGGCCGCTTGCCCTACCAGACGACACACTTGTGCGTTGGGTTCATGGGACTCCCTCGCCGGCACTTGTACGCCTTTGCGAAGTCCTCCGAGTTGGATAACACTCCGATGACCCTGCCGAAAAGAAGATGCGTCGAGTTTCAATAGAAGTGTTGCTGGAATAATTCTTGTCGCTTTTCTTTATTTATGTTGACTCATGTCATTTGCTTGAATTGCTGTCCCATGTCGTCCGATTGAATTGCTTTGCTCATTCCGTGCCCCTAGGAAGCCATCTAGGGATCCCTGAAGTAAATAATTTATGTTTCGGCTTCCCCCCCTCCCCCCCCCCTTTTTTTTTTGAAGGGGGGGGGAGGGGGCGGTTAAACAACAAAACACAATGCCTTTTTTTGTCAAGCTTTGTGTCACATGGGTTTGCTCCGACGTTTGTCATTCTTGCTTATTGCTGAGAGATATTTTGCTTGAGATGATTTATTCATTTATTGATACCCTTCAGGGCCCGAAGGCATTACGGGAAAGGGGGGGGGGCATAGCAACAATATACAAACAAAACAAATATATCTAACTAGTGAGTTAAACAGGACGAAAAAATATATAATTTGAAACAATACACACACAAATTCACTTAACAAGGGAGTTATAGAGGATACAAAAAATAATTGTAAACAGCAATTTAAAAATCGGAGCACTCGGCAATCTCGACTACAGCTGCGGGAAGGCGACTCCAGTCCAGTGACGTTTTAGGCAAAAGACTGAAAAAAGTGATGTGTGACAGTGAGCAATGCCAACTTTATATCGATGGTCGACGCGCGATGAGATATAAGACGGTTGTATTAACAAAAACTGGCGCATTGACGTGTTAAGATAATAGATCTTGTGAAATAAGCACAAGCGTGACACTTTCCTGCGAAGAGAGAGGACAGGAAAACAGAGATTGAATTTTATTGCTGATACGCTGGATGTTCGGTCATAGTTATGTAGTATGAATCGAGCAGAACGGTTTTGAATGGCTTCAAATAAAAATGCAAGTGTTATACCAGGGTCCCATATAGCTGCGGCTTATTCAAGTTTACTTCGGACCGAAGATTGATAAAGAAGTAGTTTTAAAGAAGTGGGAGCAAGAGAGAAGTTTCTTTTAAGATAGCCTAACATGCGGTTTGCATTATTGATAACGTATTGAATGTGAGTATCCCAGGAAAGTTTATTTGTTATATGCACACCAAGATCTTTATATGATAATACAAAATCAGGGACAACGCCGCTGATATTGTAAGAATGGCATGTGTTCATTTGATGTGATACTTTCATGAATTTGCATTTGTTAATGTTAAGTTTTATATTCCATGTGTCACACCACCGGTAAATGCTGTCAAGGTCTGACTGAAGAGAATGAATATCAGAATCATTGGTTATCTCCCTGTAGATGACACAGTCATCTGAAAATAAGCCAATGGATGAAGAAACATGAGTAGGTAGATCCTTAATATATATAAGAAATAAAAGAGGACCTAGTACGGAACCTTGGAGAACGCCTGCACCTACTAGTGAATGAACTGAGTTACAGCCGTTAACATGAACAAATTGTAAGCGGTTAATTTAAGAAAATAAATCCAAGCAAAAACATGGGGTTCTATGTTAAGGACAGTGAGTTTATGAAGAAGAAGCCGGTGTGAAACTTTGTCGAATGCTTTTGAGAAATCTCAACATACGTAATCTACCGCATGAGAACGATCAAGAGCGACATGAAGATTGTAAGTAAGTGTTAACAACTGAGATTCGCACGAGAATAGTTCCCTAAATTCATGTTGAGCAGGGGTAAAAAAAGAATTATAATTAAGGAAAGCAACAAGATGAGAGTTAATTATGTGTTCCAGAAGTTTGCAGGGGATGCTCGTTAATGAAATCGAACGATAATTACTAAGGCTAGATTTATCTCCACATTTATGGACCGGAATCACCTTCCGTACCTTCCAGTCCTCGGAACGAGTACCAAGATTGAGGGATTGCTGGAAAAGCTTAGTTAGAATAACGGAAAAAGTACATTTTAGTGTTTTTTTTTTAAATTTTGAGTTCATATTGTCAGTGCCAGATGATGAGGATAGTTTAAGGCCATCAATAATTTTGACAATGCCACCACAGTCTGTAGTAATGGAATCCATAGTACAAAAGTTTGATGGGAGCAAGTCAGGGCAGTCAAGAATGTTTGAGCTGGAAAGGAAGTCGACGAACATTTCGTTTAGCGCGGATTTCCACTCCCTCTCTGATATCTCTTCCCCGTTCGAGTTGGTGAGCCTTACACCAGGTCTCTTGCAGGGGTTCACAGCACACCAAAACTGACACGGACTGTTGAGCAACATTTCTGGCAAAGTACTTCCGAAGAAACGCTGTTTGGCTTCACTGACGGCAGTTTTATATAAAAACTGCCGCAGCAGTTTATATCTTTTTTCAGAAGTTTTGCCAACACATTCGAGAAGATTGCGTATAAAATCTTATCGTTTTTCTTTGTTGAGAGTGTGTATTGCTTTTGTTGCATTTTTCTTTTTTTATAAAACGTGTGTATGCATGCTGTATGCTCTCTCCTATCATACTCCTGGATGGAAGTATTAGCATCTCAAAATTTATAAAAAATATAAATTTTGCTAGTCTGCATTTTGAAAATGGGGGAAGGAGGGGTTAGTAAGCATCACTGCATACGCATGTATATGCAAAGGTAAGAGTACAATGCACTGTGGGATGTACACATTGGTAACATGGAAATGAAACAACAATACAGTAAAAACAGGTAAACTTTTACCAACAGCCTTACAATGCTTTCAAGAATAACTCGACTGGAAAGGAATTGACATTCACTTCAGAAAACACTTCAATCCTTCAATAGTTCGTGGGAAAAGATGTACAATTGACAAGAGTCGGTGTAATAAAGATACGAAGTTGGCGCTCTATTGTAAAACCTCGCGTAGCTGGTACCGGTCGTGCGACTAAATACCTTGGCAAGCATTTGTTAAAATCACCTTTCAGTATGCAATATAACAACTTCAGACCCGCTGAAGTTGCCAAATTGTAAAAAAAAATTGTCCCTCCATCAAAGGCTGAAAGACTGGGTGATGACGCCACATCTTTTACTTTCAAGGGTTATGCTAAGACTAAGGCGCGGCATCACCGAAGCCCTGCAGCACGTAAAAACGCTACACAGCTTAGAGAGTAAGTGCCGATGTCCCCAATAAAGAAACGCCAGAAGTACAACCCGACGTCACAGCTTCACGAATTTCATAATCTTTCTTTGAGAGGGTTCTTCGCGGCTAATCCTATCAAATCCCGACAGTGCACCATGACAATGCGCTCTTAGTCCGCATGTTTGCGTTTGAGTGTCTTTTAGCTTTCAACCGATATCGGGTCTACGATGAAACCAAGCGTAGAAATGCCGCCTACTTCTTTTGAACCTTCGTAATGACGGGGGAGTGCGAGTTACATAGGGGCCTGAATTGAGCCTGGATGCCCGTAGCTCTGAGTTTGATTCATCCTAAGGTGAGGAAAACCGTTGTTCAAGTCATTGCACAAGAGGTTATATGTATATTAAATAAGACCCTCAGTTGCAACATCACTGTCGCAATCACTCGAACGATATCAGTCATTTATTACGACGTTACCGGACTAGTTAGTTCCTTACCTGAATCGTCCGGGGCTGTGTGCTCCAGTTCGGATGGTGTTAACGGCGTGCTCAGGACGCATTGTGCCGCACCATATCTGGGCGTACGTCAGGAAAAACAGCTGGTCGTGCGTCAGGTTGAGGCCCGGAAGCTGGGGCTCCGTGCCAGTGCGCTCCTCCCTGCGCTTGTAGGCCTGCGTGGTAGTACCAGGCCAAATTTACCGATCCTTAGCATTATGACAATTGTGTTCTGTGCGTGTTAATTTAGATAGTGAGAAGTTAACCAACCCCAATGGGCATCTGGTGTCTCCGCTGTAAATGAGAAACTTAGCTGGTGCAGCACCACTGCAGCCTGAAATCTTTGAGGTGCATCACGTATGCGTGCTACACACCTATACGCCTGTACTCTGCTAATCCAGTTTGAATCGGGCAGGAGTTGAGGATTAAAGCCGCGATTCATGGGTTCTGCAGTGTGAGCTTTCACTTCACGTGCTTCAAGTCTCGGCGCGTTAACACAATCGGCCACCGGTTCGTAAGACGCATGGCTACATGATCCAAATTGCAGCATCTTCATCTCAGAATACGAAGAGTTGAAGTAACTTCAGCTGAATGGCGTGGATGTTCAGCAGCCATTCAGGCTGCAGTGAAGTATTTGAGTTTTTTTAGTGTCACGCAGAGCGATTGCTATTGGTGAATGGCTGAAGCACTGGAAGGCAATAAGCTACGTGAGATTAGATTTAGCTGTGGAATCTAGGAAGTGCCATTCCTTGAACTCCTGGTGTGTCCCATCTGAGGATCGTTTCGTTTACCGTTGCTTGATCACGTATAAATTACTAAGTCCCATGAAATGGTTATTAAAAAAAAAACTGTATCAAGCGTCGTTCCAAAAACCTTTTCCATATTAAAACGAATATAAGTTTCGTGGACAATCTAAACAGGACACCATTTTCATGGTGACGTATAGGAATAGGTACCTCGGCTCCCAGGCAATGAGCTGGTCTACGGATTTCCAGGTTCGAATGCCGACCGAGTTGCCCGCAATTTGACAACGGCGTATTACGGAGAAGGCGGCATGTAACCGCGACTTTGAATGCACGTCAACAGATCCCTGCAGGCGGTCGAAATCGGTCCTTAGTCCTTCGCTCAGGCGCGTCTGATGCTCTTCGCTGGGTTGCCACGTAAATACACAAAATGTAACTTTTCTTGACGTAGAGGAGTCTCAAACATGGTGTTTACACAATATGCTCTACCTGTACTGGCCCCTCTTTTAAAACAGACTTAAGGTTCGGATTAGGCTATGCTGAATCTGGAATAGACAAGTCTCTCGAGTATCGGTTCGGTAGCATACGGCAGAATTCAGGCCTCAATCGGTGGAAGTCAGTTAAATTAGTTGTTCTTTTTAGCGATCTTTTTCCGATTAATCGATAAAAGCATAAAATATCCCACAGAAATTTCCATCCGGTAAAAGTGAATGGCTGCTGAAGGCAGCACTTGAGTTAACCGTTTCTGCTATATGATGCTTTACCACGCTCTCTGCGAACCTACCTTGGCGATGTTTGTTGCGCCACCGTTTCAAGGTCACTTGCGGAGAGTTGAAACACTTCGAAGACCGCAGTGAGTTTGCTGGCGTTGTAACAAAGCGAGGTCACGGAGCAAACTTCAAGATAGACCGGACGATTATACTTAGTTTCTGCATGAGCCCAGACGCAGTCAAGGCCACGAGCAAATCGAACCGATAAAGCAGCGCCAAAGCGAAAATCACTAGAATTTTTTTGTTTATGATTTGTTCAGCAATGATAGAACGCCTACAGAAACACGACAAATACAATGAGGGTGCTCTTTTCACGCCGTCCGACCGGCCCCATCAGCTCATGGCGTCGGCCGCGTCTGGACTGAAGGTGGAACGAAATATAGTAACGTCGAGAGCTCGAAATGCCAGGCCACCTATCTTAGTCACTTGAAGATTAAGAAATGCACGGCATGGCAAGTCCCGGGCATTTTATTGTTGCTTTGCAGCCAATGACATTGGTGCATTAGCGTCTAAAAATGCCGAAGATAGAATCACGGAGCGAGACGAGTGAACACAACGAACCACACAATGCTTTTTTTGAGCTGTCGGTGACTGCACAACTGAAATAACCGACAGCTAAAATATAATAATAATACAAGGTCTCTCCCAAAAGTTTCCAGAATTGTTTTTTTATAAATCATTTAATCAATATTAGTTTACAATCTTTTCAAAACTTTTCAAAGTATGGTCACCCTGCTTCGATGCACCGTTGCCAACGCTCCACCCAATCCTTGAAGGCGCACTGGAAGCTGTCAACGGGAACATCCTTGAGTGAGGTCGTCGCAGCTGCCTTTACCGTCTCCAGCGTCCCATGCCGAGTTTATTTCAGGGTTCTTGTGATTCTTGAGAACAAATATAAGTCCAGTGGTGCCAGATCGGGGCTGTACGGCGGCTGGGGCAACATTGCCACACCTATTTTGGCCAGCAACACTGAGTCAATGAGCGCGGTGTGGCTTGACGCATTGTCAGCGTGCAAGTTCCAAAGTTCGCGAATTTCTTTTCGGACTCGTCGAACCATGTTGCGCAACCGTTTGAGCACTTCACAGTAAAGCTCCTTGTTGACTATTTGTCCCTGTGGCGCGAATTCACTGTGAACCACACCTTTTCTGTCGAAAAACACAGTGAGCATTGCCCTGATTCGCGATTTGCTCAACCTTGCCTTTTTCGTGTGAGGAGACTCCGTGGTGTGCCAATCCTGCTCTGACGGTTTGATTCGGGGTCGTACACAAAAATCCACGTCGCGTCCCCTGCGATCACTCTGTCCAAACATTCCGGGTCCGTTTGTAGCGTTCATGCGATTCCTGGCACTTCAAGAAACGCTCTTCCTTCATCTCACTCGTCAGGACCTTTGGCATCATTTTCGCGCAGACTTTCCTCATTTGAATATCCCCCGCTAAAATGCGATGCACGATTGTTCTTAGTATTCAACGCTCCCCTGCGATCATCCGAACACTTAATCGTCGGTACTTGTCCAAAACTTGACGCCCTTTTGCACCGAGTCGTCCGATGGTGATGTCGGCGGGCGTCCCGAGGCGTCGTCGTCGTTGACGGGCTCCCGTCCTTCCCGGAACCTCTTGTGGCTCATAAAAGTTTGGCTTTGTTTAATCGCGTCGTCACCGTAGGGCTTTCCGCAGCATTTCGAGCGACTTCGCGCCGTTTTTACCCAGTTTCACACAAAACTTGATTGCATAACGCGGCTCTAAAAACTGGTACATTTTGTTCTTGACGAGGGTGCCGTAGATACCTTTGCGCGGAGCGTGACCTGCCTCAATAACTGCCCGCAGGCAACTGAGACCAGCCCCATTTTGAAGCTTAGATACCCCGCTAACCTCTCCGCCCGAAGCACCGCCCCGCCAGGCGGCGTTGCCGACTACAAAAAATCATTCCGGAAAGTTTTGGGACAGACCTGTAGACGCAGGGCATATTGTATTCACACTTCTCGCTCCCTCAGTCGTTTTTCGGCGGCTAGTGGCGCAATCTTATTGCTTACGGAGCGATGATAGATGCTCGAGGATAATGACGTTCAACTTTACTTAGGCTGTAAGCGACTAGAAAGATCACTCTAAAAAAAGTCTGTGCGTCTACAACCGCACACAACACTCGGAGAGTCAATCACCGCACCTTACGGAGGCAGCTTAGCGAATGCCGATGCCAAAACATATGTTTAGACCAACAAACGCAGTTTTTTGGTCTGAATTGTTGTCTAAACTGAGTTGCGACATTAAGCCATGCAAGCGTGACGTTTTGCATTGCTTAATGTCACAACTCAGACTGCGTCTTTTGCTCTGAACATATGTTTCGGCATCGTACTTCGCTAAGCTGCCTCCGTAAGGTGCGGTGATTGGCTCTCCGAGTGTTGTGCGTGAAAGTAGACGCAGAGACTTTTTTTAGAGTGATGGCCTAGAAACGACAGAGCTTGTGCTTTGTCTCACCTTAAGTCCAGACGCAGCCAATGCTACAAGCTGAGAGGACTAATTAGACAGCGTCAAAAGCGCACCATCATGGTGTTCGTCATGTTGCTCTGCGTGTTCGATCATCGCTGAACCAATCACAAACAGAAAAGGCCCGGTGGCTTGCACTTTTGACGCTGCTTCGTTGACCCCATTAGTTCGTAGCGTAGCTCGACTAATCTCACTATTTCAAGGCAACCCTTTAAATTTAAAATAACGGCCAACAAAAACACAAAGAAGTCAGTCACTAAACAAAGCATACTGCCGTCGTTTTAAGGTCACTTCGCTACAGCAGGCGTTCCTTCCATTCATTCGGCTGCTTTATCTTTTATTTTCTTTGATGTGTAGGAAACTTCAAACCTCAGGCTCGCACTTACCCTGAATGCCTGCTTCACGCCTCCGTTGTCAGCGATATTCTCGCCTTGGGTGTTCACGCCGTTCACCTGGAAGAGAGAGAGAGATAGATAGAGACTGTCGCTGTCCTTCTGCAGCGAGGGCAGAATAAACTTTCCTCCCTCTCTCTGTCAAATGAATTCTTTCCTTCTGTCTGATGCAGCACCTATCACCAGGCAATGATTTACTTTATTGTATAGAATAAACGACTGATTGCTCATCCCGGGACGAGTGTACACTGTGCATGATTCCAGAATACACACTTTTTTATTTACTCGTCTCTGTTGTCTTTGTGGTTATATTCAAGTTACTATATACTGTGATCCGCATTTTCACTCGCGAAGGAGGTATACTTAACTCGCTCCCAGTTGTGCATCTGTACCACAGTATTGTTTTTTTTTTTAGGTTAAACTAAGGGGTTTGAACTTTTACGAAAAGCCGGGCAACTAGAAGCTTCTCTTTGATGTTCTTAGCGTGTCAGTGACTTTGGCTACGTTTTGATCAATGACCATGCTACGCGTCTCTTTAGGAATACGCAAACAAAGCACGAAAGACGTGGCTGCCAATAAGAAGTTGAAATAGAATGGTTACCAAACTGAGGTATCCAGGAAACATTGCGCCAGTCTTTTCTTCTTTTTGTTTTTCGTAAGCGGCCACAAGCGGGCACAATGAATTAGGTCACACTAAAACCCAAATGTAATGAGCTTTTATTAAACAATTTTACATTACCTGAAGGCTATAATTGGTGAAGGGTTAAAGGTTAATTCAGGGGAAGCTCCTTCCACCCCTTTTCGCTTTAGCAAAGCGAACTTTGGAATGCAGGCGACATCCTCTCCTCTCCATCGTTTCCTAGACTAAACTGGAAAGGGGTGAGAGGAGCTTCCACTAAAGTCTTAAGCTTTCACTGATTATAATTAAACGGCATCGGTGTAAGAACGGAAAGACCCGGTCTCTAAGCAGCAAATATAATACTGCTTTGGTCGACGAGGGCTCCCATAAAATGGGTGCTGATTGTTCGCATGGCCTAGTGCATTCCAACAGTAATGACAATCTTAATTAACTATATCAAACTCACAGGCATGTTGACTTCTGGTAGGACATATTTGCTGTACTGGCTGACCATGCACTGCGCCTTTGCGTGAAACAAGTTCAGCGCCTCAGGCTTCCACCACTGTTTCAGGTTACCGTGCTGGTCGAATTGACGGCCTGGAAATGCACGAGAGAGAAGCACCTTTGAATTGAAAATATCTAGACCGATAATAGTAGAAAACGCGACCATTACGACGCCGGGATCGGACCGCCTTAATTTGGGACGAGTCAAGTTTTATCTAAGTCAGCCTGAAAATAAGAGTTGGCACAGCCATAACACACAAGCTGACTAAAGTACGCGAAGATGAGCCGATTGTTTTCACGCGCCCCAGCCCTTATATACTTTTATGTGAAACCGTGGTTAACAAAAGCGCTTGAATTTTTCTTTTCGAGGAAGCCGGTCAGGGTATTTTTGCAGCTGCTCCTGTACAGTACCGCATGAAAAAACAAGTTGAAATGACTAGGTGTAGAGATTTTTTTTATAAAACCAACGCAGTTTTTTTCAACTTGTCAGTTTCTACGCTGGTCCAGTCACGTGCTGTTGAGTCGCCATGCTATTTTAACGGATCAGGTGGGAGTATAGGCAGATTACGAAGTACCGTCAAAGACGCAGCCTTAAACACGTGGCGTGGTGACATGGCGACCTCATTTCTCCGTTGAACTGCTATACAAACGCTAACATGGAGATCTGTGGGTGGGTGCTGCAGCGGAGTCTCGAAATAGTTACTCAACGTGTTGCGAATTGTGAAAACTTTCTTCGCCGCTTTTCTGAGGAATGGACGACATAGCAGCTTTTCATTGCGTCTGTCGCGGTTGCTCCGATCAGAGTTCACTCGAATACTCATACTTGCAACTCATTGGAAACTATGTATAGGTTTAATTTGTTCGACAATGTGAGTCATAAATTAGGTTTTAAACATTGTAGCGTTTTGTTGTTGACGCATCTTAAAGTCAACCATAAAAAAAGAGAAAAAAAATCCACCAGGAACAAGTGATTGAGTTTGTTTTTGTATAAGCCGCTCCGAGAATTGTGGATGTGACTGTATAAACGCGAAGCACTGACTGTGCCACCTTATCAACTGTAAGAACTCACAAGGTTTCTCATATATTCGTGTATTGCATCGGCGGTGTTTTAGTTGATACCTAGCATCACTCTAAAAAAAGCCCGTGCGTCAACTTTCCCGCACAACACTCGGAGAGCCAATCACCGCAACTACGGAGGCAGCTAAGCGAATGACGATACCGAAAAATATGTTTCGACCCAAAAACGCAGTCTGAGTTGTGACATTAAGCGATGCAAAGCGTCACGCTTGCATTGCTTTGCTCACGCTTGCGGCTTGCGCTTGCGGCGTCACGCTTGCGGGTCTTTTTTTTTTTTTTTTTCAACTGATGGATCGTGCCCGCAGTGCGGTCTCAACCAGACAAACCTGTTGATTGAGTGACGGATTACAAAATATTTGAGACGCCATTGCGTGATTGCAACTATATATAGTCACTGAAGGCTACAGGGCGTGGCGGGTACTGGAGATATTAATATTGTTCCTCAGCCAATCCATTGGCAGCATCAGCCATTCGAAAACGTCGAGGACTCAGAACGAAACGTGATAATTAGAGGTGTGCGAATAGTTGTCGGTATCGAATAGTGCAGCGTCATCCCTAGCTTCTGCACTGTTGAAAGAACCTTCCGTCATGACTTTCCCATGCACTGTCATGGCTACGAATGGCGCAGCGCTATTTGATTCGAACCACCTATTCGCACAACCCTACACTATAAAAAAGCCCGTGCGTCTACTTTTCCGCATAACACTCGGAGAGCCAATCACTGCAACTTAAGGAGGCAGCTCAGCGAATGACGATGCCGAAACATATGTTTAGATAAAAAAAGGCAGTCTGAGTTGTGACATTAAGCGATGCAAAACGTCACGCTTGCATGGCTTAATGTCACACCTCATATTCGTTATTTGGTCTAAACCACGGTGTAAGATAATACTCTTCAGGTGAGGACAGCGCGCTCCTCGCGCAGTGCAGATAAAGTTCGCTTTTCACTCTCTCTCTCTCTCACTATGGTTTTAAGCGGCGCCGGCAGATGACTCGTCGACCCGTGGGCACGGCAAAGACGGTTTGTGACGCCTCATGCTCCACACGCGCAGAGCTCCAGCGAGGTTGTCGCTCGTGCAGAAAGACCACGGTGTACCGGGGTGTGATGACAACGATATACTTTTTTTCGCTCTCACACAGTTTCGCCCCCTGGCCGCCGGCGACACTGTCAGCCGCGGGCACGATGACCGCGGAATAATGCAGCCTTTCGGATGCCCGTCGAACGAACACTATCTGATTCCTCACTCGGCGCGTTCAGTCTCGCCGTGTCCTCACCTGAAGAGTGTATCTTAGACCGTGGTCTAAACATATGTTCCGGCATTGTCATTCGCTGAGCTGCCTCCGTAAGCTGCAGTGATTGGTTCTCCGAGTGTTGTGTGGGAAAGTAGACGGACGGGCTTTTTTTAGAGTGTAGTGATAATCATAGGCACCGCCCTGCGTTTCTTAAGCGGACAGTCACTATGTAAGATTGCTGCCACCGACACGTCACCCGTAGGATAGTTGCTCACTCCTCCCTGAAACCTTGAGGTCATTCGCTGGTTGTACGTACACAATGCCACGACGATTCGATAGACAACTGGTGTATAATATATGTTTGCGGATCTCCTAGACTGTGTTGTGTGTCACAGCACCAAGGTCCGTTCACACTCTTACAACCGAGTACGACCGAGAGAGACCAGACCGGTTTTTAAGCCTCTTGCGACGTCCTAGGACCTAGTCCGCTGCAGCGCATCCAGTCCTAAGACGTAGCAAGAGGCTTAAAAACTGGTCTGGTCTCTCTCGGTCGTACTCGGTTACATATATAGGGAGTTTTAGCGAGTCGTTTTTCAAGCACACGGTTCCGAAATCACGAACGGTACAGCTGGTCCGTTCCGTGAAACCGTACGTCAAATTTGACAGACTTTAGCGAATCGTGAAAGTGGTGCGACCGTGTAAACAATGATGATGATCATGCTTAACGGTGGCGTCATCTTCTAGTAAACATGTGAAACATTCTGCAACGTGTAAATTAGTGGCGACGGTGGTGGACACCGTGGTGGCGGTTCGTGTTTCCGGCGTACGACTGATGTAAACAAGACGGCCAACGTAACATTTGCCGGTCGGAATTTCAAGAACTGCGAAGCTAGATAGAGTAAAAAGTGTCTGAACGACCGTAAAGGTATGTGGTGTGTCTCCGTCATCTTCAACTTGAACGATCGTTCACGTTGTGTACCGTCGAACCAAATCATTGCGTCTGCTCGCGGTTACCACGGCAGCTAGTCTGCCCGCAGATCGCAAAAATTTACTAGCATGCGCAGTTTACAGCATTTAATATCGCTTACCATTGTGAGCAGTCCTCGGAATAATTTGGTTCAACCTCTCAAATGAAGCAGACTTAAACAGGACGACCCAAATCGCCTCCGGCTGTCCTAAGCCTAACGCTCGGCTGAGTCGGCGAAGGCGGTCGCCGAACCGACCGCCATCTTTTTGTTACCCGAGTCGTGAACGGTGCTGGCTGCGTTGCGGTGACGACTCCAGCGGCCGGAATGGGAGAAACGAACGAGAAGAGCCTCCCGACTCCCCGAACGGCTCGCGCGCGCATGCGCAGTGGCGTCGCGGATACGTTCGAGGGCGAACCGTTCGTGTGGAAACGACCTGCTAAAACTCCCTTATGTGAGCGGCGTTTAACCGTATGAGGTAATACTGAACGCTATTCTCAATTACTGCCCCATGGCCTATAGCGGTGGTATATCGCCGCAATATAAAGCATATTGTGGCAAGGTGGCACTTACCTTTGTCATCAAACCCGTGCGTAATTTCGTGTCCAATCACCACACCGATTCCGCCGTAGTTCACAGACCTAAATGCATCAGAAACAAAAACAGAAAAATTAGCGATCCCGATTACCATTTGAAGGCTGAGAGGTGCGTGTTCATAATGTAACTGTTTCCACAAAAAGATACACGTAAAAAAGCAATTGAGCACCATCGGAATAACGTGGTCGGACCGCACTTGACATTTAATGCGTGCTTACATTTTTATGGCGCAATCGAAGCAAATAGTTTTCCAAATTTATTTTCCATTATTTTGGTTGGGATTGTACAAGAATTTGATAATGTTGTGTGCCCATAACAAAAACGAACAAATAATAAACTCATCATATCCAGATGAAAACGTTCCCTTACCTCGGATAGTTTCTGTGGTACAGTGGTGGTTGCAAGACCCCTGCGGGGAAGCCTGGCCCAGGCAGCAAGAAACACAGAATCAATTTTATGTGTCATCAAACAGGGATGTCTCTTTTCGGGATGAAACGTCAAAGTAATTAGGTCGACTTTTTGGTTTAACCGAAACAGGCAACTGAGTGGCATTCAAGCAGACACTCGAGCAGCCTGAAAAGTATTTACACTTGACATATTTACGAAACTGTAAATAAAATTGGGCCCAGTCAATATAATACAGTCCGGAAAAGCTGGTCTAGCAAGGCAACGTAATGAACACGATATTTCTTTGGGTACAACAATATATAGGCAATGCTTAATCGTTGGAAATGTTGTTTCCAGCTAGAAATACGACCAGTCTGACTCAAAAAGAATATTTTGTCTGAAAAAAAAATAATACCCATTCTCACATTCAATATTCAACTTCCAATTTCTAATCTCAAAACTGTTAATCGAATGCACTTTACTAATTATTTTATTTTAAAAAAACACACGTTAAACACATCGCTGTGGTTATGTGTATCCTCTGCATACTTGCACTTGTGTCGTTTTAGCGCCGTTGAATTTATTCTAAGGCACATCGACATATTTAGCTTTGTTAGTGTTGTTTCAGAATTATCAACGTACGATATGTTTCTCTACTCTTTAAGATAAAGCTTGCCCAAAAAGACCTTATGAAAGGTGTGCACGACGATAGCTTTAAAACAGTAAAGATGCGGTGACTAGGGGTGTCGCGAACCGGCCGCGGTTCGAGTTCGACCAGGTTCGACTTTTTCGACTTTTAGTGGAAAGTTCGTCGAACCTTGTATTGAGGTTCGACTCGTGTGCGCATGCGCGACAGGCTGGCCAGTTGGCTTCGGATTGGATGGTAATGGCTAAGAGATGAATTAAGTGCAGCGCTGATCGGCTATTTCAGTCAATACAGTACTAAAATTTAAGTTATTGACTTCTTTAGTGAATAGAATTAGTTTCTTTCAATTGCAGCTGTTCACAATATAAAATAACCCTTTGCATAAGAAAAGAAATTCTCTAAACCTAGACATGCATGTATCAAGGTCTGGCCACACTGTCCACAAAGTCGAACCGGTCGAATCTGGTGAAAAGTTCGAAGGTTCGTCGAACCGGTTCGACCCAGTCGAACCCCGAAAGTTCGACCAAAAAATCTGGTTCGACAAAAGTTCGCGACACCCCTAGCGGTGACTATACAGATTGTTCGACCGCCTAACGCTTCTGTGCAAAATCGACAGAATTATGCATGCGCTAAAGTTGTTTTTTCTTTCAGGCGTTACGGTTCCATTTTTTATTCACATTATAAATAGTTTTCTGTGTGTAAATATAATTTACAAGTTATGTGCGCTCTTCGAAGAAGTAACTAATGCGTTGATTTTTCTTATTAAAATTAAATCATTAAAAAAATAACGCATTCTTGAAAATATTATCTCAGTTAGCGAGACATAGAAGTGGCCTTCGCACCCGCGGCTTCGACAGGTTAGCTATTGATGTGCCGAAGCGTGGACTATTTCTTGCTGCCGCCAATATGTAAAGTCCTGTTTAGTTAAAAAAGTATAAATGATACATGATAAATTTTCCCACCTTAACTCGACAGCAAATGCGCGAGTATATTTTAACCAATTGACGGCCCTATTTTTCAGACTCCATTTATTATGAATGTGCCCGATGTTATCTGGATCTTTTTTTTTTTGTATTGCCACAGGAAACTGTTAGAGCAACATGGTACGCGTATATAGTTTCTAACTGAAATTGTTGTTAATCTGCAAACGCGTAAATGTACTTCCTATTTTTTTTTTTTTAATTTTGTATTGCAGAAACTTATTGTTTTCCTAAAACAGGGGTAACGATGCAAGAAGAGAAAGGTTTTTTTCTTTCAGACATTACGGTCAGACATTAACTGTGCTGCCTTGTCATGAAACAACTGTATCGAAGATTCACTCGCATTATTGGCGAACGCCGTGAGACGGACGACATGGCTAGGGGCTCGAGGAACCGTCCTTCTTCGCGCACATGTTTTCAAAGCTGTGTGGTGGACGACCGCGCCTGCGCAGGGCCCTAGACAGACAGTGCCCCTGCCGGGGAGATTCACGAAGCCCGAGTGAAATTTCGGTACCGCCTTTCTGGCAAGGCACCTTCCTCTTTTTCACTTTGATAGATTCTATGCCAGAAGAGTCACGGATTTAGTGTTCAAACTTTCTTTCTTATTCTCATTTTAATTTACACGCATTTAATGTGCATACGTTACCTTTCACTGTCATTCTTGATAACTTTCCTTTCCTTCCCTCACCGCAAAGTCATGATGAATTAACTTCGTCCAAAATTCAAATAACGAGACTTGCATATCTCGCGCGCAACTTTTCCTGGCAGCGGAGTCGAGGGGAAGTAGCCCCATCTGTCGGCCATCATTCCAAACATATAATTTAAGTTTCGCTTTAGTAAGAGAGTGTGGTCTGGATTTCAAATCTGAATGCCATGCTATCATTGCAATCAAATTTCCGCAAAGTAATTTCCTTGCAGTGATTGAAAAAATAAAATGTTTAAATCTCATTTTGTAGTATTCCCAAGTCTACATGTTGTAGTAATCCCAGGTCTTCATTTTTTATTTAAAGTGTCGAAAATCAGTTGTATAATTACTCTAGTGCAATAGTTTACAGCAATCACTGCACTGGGGACGGGGTATACACGAAGCGTACAAATATAGGCGAGACCTGTGAGGGAAACAAAAGATAAGGCGAACACAGAATTGCAAGGCCTCGCTAAGCGATGAAAAGAAAGGAGCCAAATACAACAACAGATGCCATGCCAGTCAAACATAATCATAAAATCTTGCTCCGGTACTATATACGTTAAAGTAATAGTAGGAGCGCTGAAATTAGATTATCTAAACAAGGGGCGCACTATAAAAGATACCTAATAATCCAAACAGAAGAACTTCCATAGTTACAGCGAAAAAAACACAATTTTATTTTTTTGGTCGTCCTCTACAACCTTTTTCTTAACCCTTTCCACACCAAGGTCTATTGTACTAACGTGAAGAATCATAGTTTCCCAATTTTAGGATGCAGAACAACATCCCTAATGTTCGTGCTGGATTGGTTAATTTATTTTTCAGCACCGAGTTATAAAGCGCCATTTATCAAAGTTGTCAGATCCCCAAGCTCTATTAGCGTGTGAATACGACCAATCTTACGGAGACACTCAAAACGCCCAACCGGTTTACGAATAGTTGACCTGTGCAGGAGAGAAAGTAAAGTGCCGACAGCCTGCACCTTATGGGAATGCAGGTTCAGCAGAAAATTACTTGATCCAATTTTCTCCACAGGCGTTTTTTCGCACCCATGGCATGTACACATTTATCCGAAAATTTATCAACAATATGACATCGATAGTTTATTTTTAGAAATTCATCTTTGAAACGCAGTGAAATACTCGGAGTCTTGCGGTTATCGCATATTCCCGACCATGACAACATGAATGATACAGAAAATTACTTTTTATGCTATAATAAATGAAGGTTCACTAGGTGTTCACGCTGTTTGCACACTACTAGTTCTTCATAATCTTTTGTGATGAATTTATATCTTACGGTGTTTATTACATAATTATGACGACATATTAAGAAGTGCTATTGTGTTGTTTTGGCTAATTGCGGTCACTCATAGGATAAAAATGTGTAAAAAAAATGAAGTAGCTGCACAATCCGTGAATGACGGGTGTATCGGTTAGGGAGCAAGCAGACTGACCGCAAAAAAATAATTGTCATGGCTTCATTATGTTCTTCCGATAACCTTTATAAACATACTTGCGACAATTGGCTTATTTCAGTTAAAAGCTTGACCATCACTTCAAAACACAGATATTACTCCTTAACAAGTATTATGACTGGCCCAGCCCGAAAAAAAATATTGTACGTAGATATTATTCCGCATCAACACGCCTTTAAAACAGTAGCAGTCAAAAACACTTTTCACAGCATTTAATTGCGACGTTGAAATTGCCATTTAAGCTTGATGATAACAATGAAAACACAAGCAAGCTGGGCTCTCGACAGTTTCGCGTTTTTACAACGGTGGCCACCTGACTCGTTTAATTTTGAAAGCTATGCGGAGCGCAAGCTTGTCTGCTTCTTTTGCATGGGTTGGGATGACGTCAGAACGACGCCGAGCTCTGATTGGCTCTGACTAAAGAATAGTAGGTAGACCTCAAAGCAAGCTGCTTTAAGGTCTATCCTTCAATCGGAGTCAATCAGAACTTGGTGTTCTGACGTCACCAGAACCCTCGCAGAAGAAGCAGACGAACTTGCTCTCCGCCTTTCTATGCGAAGCGCAAGTTCGTCTGCTTCTTGCTTAGAAATTGCGGTGACGGTAGAACGCTTAGCTCCCATTGGCTTTGATTGGAAGGATAGCGGGCAGACGTCAATGCTGGCTGTTTTAAGGTCTACCCACTATCCTTCTAATCAGTGTCAATCAGGGCTCGGCGTTCTGACGTCACCACAACCCCTGCAAACGTACTGCCAAGTTTTAGCAGACGATTTAAAGACGAACTTATACTCCGCTTTGTCAAAGACAAGATGAGAATGGTTGGGCGTATCTTACAAACCGGGCCTCCAGCACGTGTTCGTTGCCTACCAGCGAGCTTTTGCTGCGCGTGCACGCTCGAGGTTCACGAGACGCCGAAGCGTTATCGAACCTATCATCACGGAAAGAGTGAGAACGGCAGGGCGTGTCTTTCGAATGGTCTGTCTCCAGCACGCGCTCCATGCTTTCTGCCGGGCTTCGGCTGCGTGCGCGCGCTCGAGGTACACAGGACGCTGATGCGAATCGTCGAATTGTATAAGCGACGTGCGGGACCAAGAGCGTCACAGTGGTCGAAGCTCGCGATTGTCCAAAACAACTGCTTCCTGTATTATTATAATGCAAGGCCAATCGCCTGTTCACCGAGAGGCAAATCCTGGTCGTGGAGGTCGGGAAAGTAAACCAGAAGAGGGCACCACCGGAACATCTCGGCGCTATACTTCGTTTCACTTTAGGTCCGAGCGCGGCTGATGTTATGAGCCGAAGGGCCAATCAAACAGCGTAAAATGTGCAACGTCATGGCGTTCTCTTTGGACTTGATATAAGACTAACCGGCGGAGGAGCACGCACAAAGAGGCGGCGAATACAGGCTGGTCCTATCAACTGCAGGGAGCACGCCACGGCGTTGTGCCTTATTCGCTCTATGATTGGCCCTTCGGCTCATAACATCGGCCGCGCTCGGACCGAAGCTGAAACGAAGTGTAATAGGCAGCTCACGTGGAGGACCTAAAGTTCTTTTTCGCCGTTCATAGCCATGTCAGTGACCATAGAAAGCTGACGATAAAGGTGGAATAACTTAATCCTCTTCTTGTCGTTCTTATCCTGTCAGTGACTATATTCTCTGTTTCATACGTAGTGTACAACGCTGTCAAAGCTGCTGGCATGGGGTTTGATCTCGCAGATCGTTTAGAGGCGTTCTCGCACAAACAAAACCATGGATAAAGCCACGAGTTCTCTGCCAGTAGCTTTGACAGCGTTGTATACTAAGTGTGATACGGAGTATAGACACCTTCAAATTGATGTACTTACTGATGAAGTTTTTGGACCTTGTATAAAAAGCGTTCACGACGGCGGGATACGTTATCCACCTGTAAAGATAAAGACGTACATGGCAGGGCTGAGTATCCTTATTAAGAATATGATGGCACGTTATTTTGTAAGTGACTATAGTCAATGATATTTCAAGAAACGCAGGGTGACAATTCCTGAGCATCTTATCATCGTTCCGCAGCCAATGAAATTGCGGCCCTAGCGCATACAAGAGCCAATCACGAAATGAAATGCGTGACGACAATAAGCCACGTCCTGCGTTTCTTAAAGGTGCCCTGAGGAGGTTTCTAAGATCGCCTAAATATGGCGATAACTCACTCTGTGTGTTCCAAGCATCCTAGAAATCCATAAATCATAACAATACGCGGCCGGTTTCCATTTTAAAAAAGCAATCAAAGATCGAAGACACCGAGGTCTTCTTCGGCATTGTTCTGGCAGCCAGAACGACATGCGAGCAATGAAAACGCGAAATTTGGTTGAGATTGCAAAAGCTGCTATTACAAAATGTGTATGTTTTCGTAGACGATAAAAGTAAGTAAGAGTAGTCGAAAAATGGTAACCTTTCGAGGAGAGGAAACACGTTACTGCAATTGTGGTTTCAAAAACAACAAATTATGGTGTTTTTTCTTTTTTTTTTTTTTTGTCTTTCGCATTAGTGATGTATTTGGTCGTCAGCTTTCAAGCGCGCACTCTCTGGGGTGAATCGTTGTCCGGGCTGTGTGGGCACCGAGTCGCGCGCATTCGAGATATCACTCCGCGGTTCCACTGGTCGGAGGCGCAAGGATCCTTCGCCTGGTCCGCCGAAGATAAGATCGGTGTGTTGCGACCTTCGCTTTTTTTATTAGGAGAATCGGCTACGCGTGGTCATGATCTAGGGATTTTTAGTATGCTTAGAGCCAACAGATTGAATTATCGCCATTTTTAGGCGATGTCAGAGACCTCCTCAGGGCACCTTTAGGCTCTAAGAAAAGATGATGCGCATACTCTGTCCTGTCGACTCCGGTCCTGAGCTTCATGGCCATCCTGAGAGCGCTGTGCTTTAGGTTCTTGATGATGTTCTCGAAGTAGGTGTCCCGTTTGAACTCTACCTGAGACAGAAGGATATGTTATGAGAATCACCCGTCTTCTCACGCCGAGGGTCACGCCTTGCTGCCTCTAGTGTCACTTACAAGATGAAAACGGCAAAGTGTGTGTGTGTGTGTGGGGGGGGGGGGGGGGGGGGAGCTTTTGTCGTCTCGCCTCTAGTGCGAGCTTTTTCCAAGCACGGCGGTAGGTATGAGCGCCTGCTGGGAGGCCGGGCGTTCCCAAGTCACACCCTGCTATTCTCATTCTGTCAGTGACTACAGAGAACGATTCGATTGAAGGCATGCCGATTTCTTTCGTAGAAAGTGTTAATTTGCAGCGAAAGCTGCGAGCATTTATGTGCGCAGTACGTTACATAAGGGATGTACAAGGATACCGTTTACGATATATGATCACACGTGACAAAAAACTGCTAGATGGAGCATGTTGAAGTTGTACGGAATGGCGTGACCTTATTATGATGGTGTTTGAAAAAAAAAATCATAGCGCCGAAAATAAATTAATCAAGACACGCTACCTTTTAATTAGAAAATACCCAATTAAGCCCTATTGAATAGTTCCCATTCTCCTTGCATTTCTACGAATGAGAAAAAAAACACCACTCACAGTAAGAGCGCTACTGGGCCTATCAATTAAGCTCCTAGGAACTGATTATTTTTGTCATAATGCGGAAGCGTAACACTGTATTGTGTTTTTTTGTTGTTGGTGGTGCTTGGTCTGGTCTAATTAGGTGTTCTACTGCCATCAAAATTATTACAACTTCTTAGACTTTCTTTTCATTCTCTTACGCAAGTTAAATCTTAGCCTGAAAGGTTTATATAAAATTATGACCTGTAAGAAACATTCTGATATGTGGACGTTTCGAATATCTGGTAGTTATTGATAGGAAAATATGAAGTTCTGTTCTGAACAAATGGACGCTCCAGCTCGGCCTACAAAAAGTCTTTCCGCCAAAGTAGGAAAATCCTCCTCTCTACCTTTTACATTTCCCACTCTCCCATTACTATCTTGACGGCAGGGGGGGCTCCTTTTGTTGCCACATCTTGAAGCTGGATCAGTGGTGATCTTATCCCAGCCTATTCGGGATAAGATCACGGCTTATCCAGCCCTAAGATGCGGAAACAAATCGAGGTCCTCGCCGTCAAGATAGCAGTGGGAAGGAGTGAAAGGAGAAGGATGTCGAAGAGGGTTTTCCTACCTTGCGGAAAAACGTTTCGTACGTCGGGCTTTAAGCAGCTAGCAGATTGTCCTTACGGACGACATGACCACACTCGATTTAATCGTCATCTTACCTCATACTCTTTGTCCAATTCGGTCGCATCGGAAATATACTCCGGGAAACCAATCTTCTCGGTCATCAACATTGCCTGGAAACAACAAAAAAAAAGTGTTTTTCTTATAAATTTATACCAGGACGTGTTTAACCAATTCAAGGAATCATTAGGCGGAAGCTTGCGGTGGGAAACTAATATATCCTTTTACCCTTGTCAGAATCAGGTCATAGTGACACCATTCTGACTTTCAATAGTCAGTGACAAGCTAAAAACCCAGCTGCAAATGCCCCTTAAAGGTGTCCCTATCCCTCCGCCAGCCAATCGCTTCCCCTCATTTCCCTGACGTGACGGCTTGACGAATTGTCTTTTTTAGATAGGGCAGCGATCGCGGTTTACGGCCGCAATGCAGAGGAACGCTCGGTCCTTGCAGTGATTTTCCAGCTATTTGCCCACCCGGGGTTTTCGTCGCAAAGTCGTGCCGGTGTCTGATATTGTCTATAATAGTTCCGGTGTTGTGGCGTGAAAATCTAGCGATCGTGTCGACGTTGAATTCTTCAATGTACCCGCTTCCTCAGCGCTGATGGCTTCTCTTAGGGTTTTCTGCTCGCCCTTGAGTTTGGTTATAAATCGCACAGGCGCGAGCGTCTCTATGCTGTGGTCCTTGTGGGGCACCGGGAAGATGCTTTGGTCGCCACGTGAGAGGATCGAGTGACTCCACCACGCTTGCTGCTGCACCGAACTCTGCCTGCCTCTCTGTTTCCCTTAAGAAATAAAGGATGCCATAAAATGACGCCTTCAAAGCGTGTTTTTTTTTCATTTGTGCAACGTGACGCTTTTGCCAAGTATCGTGTTTGCGATCGATTGACGGTAATTCAGGTAAGCAATGGTTACCCCTTCGTACCACTGTCCCACGTGAAGACACCATCTGTCAAAGTTACACTCGTGTCCTGCCGTCACCCTCGACACTACACGAGTTAGAAAACTATTCGGTCGTCTTCTCGGTAGCCATGCATCGCCTCGCGACAATGTTTTCACGCATCGTCAGCCTGCTTCCCTCCTTTCGCACGTGCCTGAAACCGATATTGCCGGTGTTTTTTTGTCGTCCAGCCGACAACGCGCAATTTTCTCAAAAGCGGAGCGGGCGCATTACGCCATGCATACAAACATTCTTCTGTACTCCTAAACTGTCACTGATTATAGGACAGTGTTTAGTGCTGCTAGTGTCAGGTTACTTAATTTTTCTATTTCCGTGGCTGAAACGACCGTTGTAGCTAGGGCTAGGCGTCGATTAAAAGTGTTGACCCGATTAATCGCCTCCCCTTCATCAATTAACTACTCGATTAATCGATCTCGTTTATTTCCACGCATAATATTTTAAAAGAGTCAAAGTTAATATTTATTTTCGTTTTTTGCCTTTGCTAAAAATGAGGTAAAGGGCGCAATATACCATTTTCGTTATGAATCAACCTCGGTGTGCAGTGAAGAACAGTTCAAAGGCACTCACGCTCACAGATTATTACTTCAGCTGCATGAAGCAAAAAGGTTGGTTGATATTATCCGCCAAGAATGACGCCCTTTGATTGTTCACACTAGTCTCTGCTGCGCTAAACGTACTATCGCGAACAATATGAGCTGAAACAGCTCTCCTGGCTCGTTCACACTTGCGAAATACGCACTCGCCGCCGACTGAATTTGCTCGCCGAAAAAATATCGGGCCGTTCATATTTGTTGCCGTCTGCGGAGTGCGGCACAAGCGTCTCGCAGTTTCCCGAACAGACAAGGGAGTTGACGAGAGTTCCCAAGCCTCCTCCTCGCCCGCGCGCGTCTCGTCGCCATCGTCGCCAGCTCGTCAGCGGGGATCTGACGTCAGCAAGCGCCACTTCTCCCGTGCGTTCTGACTGGCTTGCGGCGAGAGAAAAATTTTTTCCGGCGTTCAAAATTGGTCGATCTTGCTCTCCGCCGGAAATTCTACCTGCTTTCGTCGCCGGGCGTCAAAATTCTGGCGGATCCGGCCGCCGGTTCCCAAGTGTGAACGAGGCATCCGGCCTGTGCACGGTACTATCTGCGCCGCCTGTAGCATCGCTCGGCAAACACGGCGCATGCTGAGGCCGAGATAAATTCTCACTTGCGCTCACAGCGCCGCTGCGCTCTTCCGGCCGTCTGCTAGCGAAAATATTGGCCGACGGAACCAGGATGCGTGTGCAGTGCAGCCCAATGTTCACGTTTCCAGCTAACCTGCATTTCAGTGCATTTCAAGAAAGCGCCGAAGTGGAAAATGCGTTGTCACGCTCGTATATTCTCGAGAAGCGCTGCCAGACAGAGCTGCCTTGGCCCCCAAAAGGTGCCGATCTGAATATCATCGAACACGTTTGGAGGCACATCAAGCTAGCCGTGTCACTGCGTCCCCGCTACCGCGCCACTGCCGACGAATTGTGGAAAGCGGTGAATGACTTCGGGTCGAGCCAGACTTCGTGGCCGCGCTCTATGATTCCTTACCAGACAGGATGAGAGCCGTGGTCGTGGATTAGGGGAGAATGACGCTGTATTGACTTCTTTCGTAAGTTTTACTGCGCCTCAGTACCCCCTGAACCGGACTTCTGCCGATTGGAACAAACTTGCTGCTACGGTTGCGACACACTGTTTGATGCCGTTAACCAGCGCATACTTTTGTCTCGTGCATCCATGATCCTAATCTCCTTGTATAGTGCAGTTCCACGCCGACTATTAATCTTTGGTGTCTGACATTGTCCTCTGCGAATATTTCTTCGATGAAGTTTCAAGCTCCTTGTCCTGGCAAATATATGATGGTCACACTTTATTAAGACTAGGATTTTGTAAATAAAACACTGGTGCCTTGTTAGCAACTTGTTTTGCTTTAAACAAACACGTGGGCCCAGTAGTAAACAAACACTATTTTTGAACATTTTCACAAAAATCAAAGTTACAAAACCTTTACAATAACATGTATGGTTACCGTTTTTTTTAAACAAATGTGCTCAATGAAAGGGGGAAAAAAGTAAATACCTTGGAGCCGGCCTAAATCGGGTGTACAGATTTTAGCCTATATATTACGATGTCCTGTTTTGTGCATGCACTTAAATCAAAGAAAAACAACCTGCAATGTCTTTTGATGTGACTTTCAAAAACGATAATCGCAGCTCCCACTGAAGATAACTCAACATTTTTTTCATTACCAGTAAGCGTTTTTTCGACGCAATTCTACGCGATAGAATGAAGTAAAGCAATTGCAAAATAGGGACAACTGTAAACTCCCCCCCCCCCCCCCCCCCCCCCCCCTGTACACACGCCCGCTGTCGCACACGCCGTTTCGCTAGCAGACGGCAGGAAGAGCACAGTGGCGCAGCGAGCGCAAGTGTTAATTTATCTCGGCCTCAGGGTGCGCCGTGTGTGCGGTGCAAAGCGACAGGCGGCGCAGGTCGTACAGTGCGCCGGCCAGAGCGCTGTTTCAGTTCATGTTGTCTGCGATTGTACACTCGAGCGGTGTTGAAGTGGCAGGGATGCGCGTAACATTCTGCACTCCTCAATAGTTACAAATTTTGCCCTTCAGTTTACTTTAGGATAAATTTTGACCAAAAGTTTGCCCTTCATGCAGGTGTTCTCATCCACGTCTGCGTGGTGAAACCGTTTACTTTTTATTTCATTTTGGTTCGTTAAATTTTTGCCGATTAATCGGTTAAAAATAATTGCGATTAAAGCATTAATCGATTAATTTGTAGGTTAATCGATCAATTGCCCAGCCCTAATTGTAGCATTTCTTTTTGCAAGCATGGCCATCTGTTTTAGACGTTCCGTGAAATAAAAGTTTTCAAGGAAATATCAAGAGCCTAATTGATTTGCGTCCTATGATACCCAGGCAGTTACAGTCCTCGGGAACATTACGATCTTTTGTAAAAAAAAAAAACAGATTTTGATAATTGTGTAAATGTGGCACATAATATATAATGAAATTTTTTTTTTTTTTTTTTTAGAGTCGTGGTATAGAAATTATACGCCTTACCCTACTAAAAGACCCAGTAAAGCTTTTCGCTATCTGGATTATGGAACTGGAAATCTAACTGGATTCTATCTGGATTTTTCGTTTCCAGAAACTATTCATTTCTTTGCAATCTTAATTTCAGGTTACCAGAAACAATTCCAGTTTCGAAATCCAGATAGTGAAAAGTTATACTGGGTTTTTCGGTAGGGTAATTACTGCTTACTTGTATCTTATGAATGTCAGCTAAAATATTTCCGGGGAACATTGATGTGTTTGTGGTTGTTAAATTAAAATTTTCAATTTAGTGCATGAGCCGAAGTGTTGATCTCCAAGTACGTTGCAGATTGACTGAACAAAATACTTAGACTGCCCCTCTTACTACATAAATATTCCGTTATGTTCAAAACGTTTTGCCTTATATTTTTACGGATCTGTTACTTGGTCAATCGGCATATCAATCTTCCCCGAGTGCAACACGTTGGTTGGACAGTTTTTACAAGATAATTTGACAATCCACGGTAACAATAAAAGTCTATGGAACACCTATTCAGCGTAGACACGGAATGGGGTTGCTGTATGAAACCACTTTTATGATGGAGGTTACCTTCTCTCTTGCCACGTGCCTGGTTTCGCTGTCCATCCAGTCCACATTGTTGAGAATCTCCAAGAAAGCAGCCTTGATATCGCTGATCATTTCCTCAGCCTGAAAACAAAACAAAAAAACATAAAAAACATGAAATGCGCAAGTGTCCATTCTATACTCGGCGTGAAATATTTCGTGCTACGTTGTCAAAGTTAGCTTAGCTTTTACTGTGCTCCAACTCTGTCAAAGCTAGTTGCGCGACCGTATGCAAATGAGGCGCAAGAGACAAAGCCACGAGCTCCCGCAGCAGTGCAAGACTGCTGCACGGTGCAAGCTACGCTAGCTTTGACAACGTAGCACAAAATAGTTGACGCAGAGCGTAGCCCCTTTCCGATGCAATGACTGGGGGATCGGTGGCCGAGAGGGCTAGCGCAGCTCGGAAAGCGTTGAACGAAAGCTCGCACAGCAGAACCTAGAGATCCTGGGTTTAAGCTCCACCCCTGGCTGGTTTCTATCTGGATGAGTATCGTACCGGCGTGCGATCGTGCATCACTACTGCGTGGTGCACGTTAAAGACCCCAGGCTAGGGGTTGTACTGCACTGGCTAAATTGCTTATCTATAGCTGACAGACAAGTGGCCCGTTGTGGCAGACTAGCTTCACGATGTATAAACATACACACAAAACACTCTCAATGCAACGGGGAAATTGATGACGGTGTAGCAGCATTATTCATGAGCCTGCTAGCAATAGCAGACAAAGAGGATTTAATTTACAGGCTAATCCGCCATTAATGTTACATAGGATATTATGGTCAGTAAGCATCAGGTATAAATGTGCATTTTATGCATAGGTGAAATGTGTACAATATTTTGGTTTATTTTGTTATTTTAGCAGGAACCGTTTTTCTTGTAAGAAAAAAAGATGACGTTTTTTTTTTTTTTTTTCAAGCAGGACTATATGTTTGTTATTTCAGCATGTTTATTTACTACAAATAACGCCGTAAGGTAACAAACTTATATCACACAAACCTATATCATGTAGCACCTATATACGCCAACTCAACTCTGTTACGTCACGCCGCGGTGGTGGCCTTTCGGGCGCACTTCCGCTTTGGACATGTGCGCGGAAGTCGCCATTCGGCACGGACATTCCTGTGTTGTTTTGGAAAAAACAGAATAAAATTTGCCTTCTCGTCAAAACGCCGCGACTGCAGTGTACTAAAAGAGACGGGAAAGGTGTGGAGATCACTTTTCGTGTGTTTGCTGCATGCTCGGTTCGTCCGACAATGTCGTTAGATGCCGCAAAAATAAAACCAGATACCGTGGAACCACGAGTGCTTCTGCGAGAACCACTTTTGGATTGAATTCACCGATACTTAGGGTCGTCAGATTTATTTGTTTTATTCCAACATGAACGCAAGAAAACCGTCAAGTTATTCGGATCACCCGCGGACCATGTTCAATGCACCTTCACGCTCAAATAGCCGTGATCGTCTAAACTGTCGTCTGCTCTTTCAAACTCGTTTTTACACTGTCGTCTGCTCATTCAAATGACAGCGGCCAGTAGACCTAACGTAAGTACAGGCCTCAAAAAGCCTTTAACTTTGAAGGTTGTTTGTAATAAGGAGGCTGTGAGTAAACAGTAGAGAAAATGAGATTATCATTGTTACTGGGGTTGACAAAGCACAGAAAATGTGCTGTTCCAGACATTTTTAGGGTTTGGCTATTATCGTCTTTGCAGCGATTCGATCCGATCCACCACCCGAATGCTTGTCAAGCTAGTGACTACCACGAGCCCCAATTGAGTGCTCACGCAATGCTCAGGTCCAATCTATAAGCTGCATTAAAATATCGTCACTCGGGGGACTACGCCAACACTGCGACGTCCGAGCTGCGTCATTTACTTTTTCGGAGGAGAAATCGAAAGAAATTGTATCATTGAAACAACACCACAGCAAAAAAAGCTTCTTTCTAGGCGTCGCGAGCGAGTATACTTGGGTTCCACTCTAGTGCCAGATGAGCTCGTGTACTCGTAAAGTAAACACCGTTTTAACTGAATATCGTTGCACTGCCCCATCAGGTAAGTAGACATAGAATGTGCGTCGTAGTTTGAGCTGTGAAGGGTGCTTAGGAGGTGCTCTGAGCCGGTCGCACTTGCAATGTGTACGACGAAAGTATTGGGAAGTACAAGAGGTGTGGCGCAAGTTCGTAGGTAAATTTAGTGGGAAATTTGCTTTCCACTTGTTCCACTTTCATAACACACGTCCATTACATACTTATTTTACATCCTTTTGCTACATTTTTTACGAAACCTTTTCTTATCACACGCTAACCTTCTGCGTAAAAATAAAAAAAAGTACCTTTGACGAACATTCACCCAGGGACACCCTTTGAAAATGGGTGTCCCTATAGTCCGCGGACTATACATACCTAAATGACAAAATTTTACGCTCTACGGAGTATCTACAGATGTGAACCACGCAAAAATTCGCTTTTCAAGATTGCTCATGATAACGAAGTGTCATGAATGTTGTGAATTACAAGCTAATTAAGCAGGCGTTTGTCGAGGTGTGCTGTGGATGGTAGTCTTTCTTTTTTTACGTGCGGACCAGACAATATCTACGAAGTTTGCACCAGGTATGAACTATCAAAAAAAAAAAAAGAAATAAGTTTTGTTTTTTAAAAGCCGGAACTGTTTTTTGCAGTTAATACGCCGGGTGCGGTTCATATTTAGGAAAATACGGTATTTGTTAAAGTAAGGTACTGTGGGCTCTATGGGGGTGTGTCGGGCTGTGGCACGTGCCTTCTTCTTGCTCTGCTCGTTGAAGTGCCGCCGTACGAACAGAGCTCCGACAGCCATGCCCATGTTCTTGTTGACCAGGAGCGTGCAGGTCTTCCAGCGGGCCGGGGTTGTCTGAGTTCCGTAGATGGCGCCGAAGTACTCCTGCTGCTTGTCCAGAAAGCGCTTGTCCAGGCTGCCCACGCGATTTGACACGAACCGCCACAGGATGTAGTTGGCGATCACCCTGCCGAGACGCCAAAGGGACACAACTTTTTCTTCTAAGGCAAATGCACATGGTGCGTAATATTTCTTACATGTATTTACACGGGAAATTACGTGCATCAAGTGCATTTCAAAATTTACACGAGGCACATGGTTCAAGTCATTCACGTCTAACTTCGTGTGGATGGTTTCAGAAATGGAATCAATACCGTCACTGTACCGCGGTTACTTTACTTATCTTAATGTTTTAGCAGTTTACGTTTATGCATGCTGACAAACTTTATTTGTCAAGTATGGTTATGATTGGTAAAATCACTAGCATAATTAATGTGCTGTTACCAGGCATGATTTAGCAATATTTTCTTGCCTGTACTTAGCGTTTTAACTACCATCTCTCTTATTAAAAGAATTCAATGCGTCTATCTGCTAGGCATTCTAAGGAATCAGAAGAGTTCTTTATTTTTATTCGTGAAACAACAAAAAAAAATATGAACTAAACTTTATTTCACCAGCAGTACTCGAATCGTTGGCAATATTGTTTGAAATTATTACTGTTTCTTCCCTTATAGTATGCAAAAGTAGACAGTTGACTTCTAACTGTTTACTCTAACGATCGCGCTCCAACTTGTTTTATGCCTGCAGTATGGATGATATATGTCTCCTTCAACCAACGGTTTTTGCTGCCTTGAATATCGTCAAAGAATCAATTTCTTATCGCGTTTCGCAACGTACCGCGGAAAGCCGCTTCGGCAAACCCTAGAGTAAAGGGAAATAATTTTTCAGAACACGACATCTCAACCCGTGACAACTGTAGACTCCTCAAAGCAGTCCTAAACCTTTCTCAACGAGGCTGTGGTTACCCCGTTTCGTAAACTCAAATTTGAAACAGTGATTTTCGGCGTGCATAAATTTTGCATCGCAGAAACCTGAATATTCATATGAACATGACGCTAGCGAGAGGTAGGATACTAAAGTGTAAGAACTGTCATAACCTGAACTAAAAATTAAACCGATAAACGTAGCTATCTCTATAAGCCGACGTCCTGCTACGCCTAATATTCGTCGAGCCAAGAAAGGCTGAGGGAGCGAAAAGCTATTATTCCAATGAACAAAAAAATCTTGCCAGCAATACAAAGAACATTGTTTTCTTTCTTCCTGACAAGTTATTTTCAGTCAAATAAATACCACTGGCGCGTACTACGCTTTTGCTTTGACGAATATTAGCTAGGCCTAGGTACACATTGGTTCATAGAGACATTTCATTTCTTTTTTTTATCTTTCGATCCATTTAACATCATGCTCTCAAACTGTCGCGTTCTATCCCAACGGCTGTACGCCACGTTCCCACAGAGTTTGCAGGTTTCTGCAACGCGTAGTTTATGTATGCGGAGCGAAAAACTTGGTTTAAACTTCTAAAAACCAACTCTGTATAATTGTTTGCTTAATATTCGTACCGTCTTTCTGCTCTGATCAAAGTTTGTGGGTTTTATAGTTTCTCAAGGCTTCGCTGTGTTTATTAATTCAAGAAGATGAGAATAAATAAAGAAGCCAAGTCAACAGGGACCTGCACTATGTTGCATCAGAGACCAGATTCCCGAAACTTTCTTAAGACAAAAAATTCGTAAATTTATCTTACTACAATGTTACGAATCTTGAATATTCCCAAAGCACCACGTTCGTAAGTTTTACGTAAGTTACGGATTTCGTCGTAACTTACGCAAAACTTACGAAAATTTTGCTTCGAGAATACTTAAAAGTTAGTAACTTTGTCGTAAGATAAATTTACGAACTTTTTTGTCGTAAGAAAGTTTCGAGAATCTGGCCTCAGTTTCTTGGAATTTTGGAGGCGCCGAGGACGTAACCAGAAGTCTTTAGAAAATGTTTTTTATAGACCAGAAACATGAACGAACCAACACATTATCTGTGCAACAGCCCTCTAAGGCAAATATGGTCTGGCGCGTGTGAATGTTATGGCGTGGCGCACAGATATATCATGCATTACGAACATCCATTTAAAATATTTGGACTTCTATGGCCTTGCCTTAAACAAACGAAGCGCTTGTAAGGGAGTGAAATTGACCTTGGAGAGGATTGCAAGGCTACAGCTCTACAGATCCCAGGCAAATACAATTTAGCAAGCAGTGCAAAAACCCTTCGGGGTTGCTTCTCAAATATTCACTACCTTGCTAAGAACCCGCATGCCGTAGACGTGTTTTTGCAATTAAATTATTTTTTCTTATACACTCTTAAAATGTCTGCGCGTCTACTTGCCCGCAAAACACTCAAAAAGCCAATCTCTGGGATCTACGAAATCAGCTCAGCGAATGGTGAGGCGGAACATCTGTTTAGACCTAAAAATAAAGTCGGCGCTGTGACATTGCGCAATGCAAAGCGTCGCGCTTGCATTGCGCGTAATACCACAGCGCAGATTTAATTTTGAGGTCTAGACAGATGTTCCGCCTCATCATTTGATGAGCTGATTTCGTAGATCACAGAGATTGGCTCTTCGAGTGTTTTGCGGGTAAGTACACGCGCGGTCGTTTTTAAGAGAGTATACTAGGTGCTTATTCCACACAAATTGACTGAAGCGACAACGGTCTTCTTCTACTTCCAGTCTTGCGCATAACATGTGAACCATGCAGGCAAAAGCACACGAGGTAACTGTCGGCGCGCTGAATGGATAAAATACCCAAAACATAAATATCATCCAAAACATTCCAAACTTCAGAATGATATCTACTATTCCTCGTAACAACTTCTCGAATAAAAGAGCTTGTTTTGGGGGCACCCTGTCGGGAATTTGTGGAGCGCATTCTTCTAAATATACTTCCCCATCCCTGCGCGTTTCGATCTGGATGAGCATCGTGCCGGCGTGCGGTCGTGTATCACTACTGCGTGGTGCACGTTAAAGACCCCAGGCTAGCATACTGCACTGGTTAAATTGCTTATCTACAGTGGGTAACAATGTCGCCATGTTCTGGCAGACTATCCTCCTGCTGTATAAACAACTAACGACTAATTTGACCTAAATATATTTAGCATGAGCTTAGTGTTTAAGTTTACTTCTAAAATAAAGTTTTTTTTTTTTTATTACTCGGGAAACATATTGGCGCGGAGATAGAACTTTAGGAAGCGCTTTGTCTGAGCTTGTTTTCTGCAGAGCTGGATGTTTAACAGACGCAAGACCACACATTACCTGAATTCGCCTCGTCGCCTTCGTCGATCGCGTTCGGAACTCCGATTGAACACGAATGTTGCGTCGGCGTTCGGATGAGACTCGTGTTCAATTGCTGCTTCACTGATTAAACAGGAGCTCCGGTGAAACGCTCACATAGCGTTCGACTACGTCAGCCGAACGCTGCGGCAGAAACGCAGTCAAGCTATATATGTTGTTGTTATCCCCATAGTTTTAGTTCTCGGTCTAGCCGCTAGGGGATGTGACGGTTAGACCTTTCTCTTAGAGAGCCTAGGTTGAAGACTAGGTCCATCCCAAACCATGGGGAGCATTTGAAATTCAATGGCGGACGCCTCCCGAGGAGGTTGGTCACAAGCGCGTGCGTTGAGTTTTTCGCGAGGCGAGTATGGAAAGCAAGCGGAATGGTGGAGCTTGTTTGCAGATGATCGACGCTTTCGGCACCTCTTCGCAGCTCGTATTGCGAATGTGGCCCATAAACCACGAGACCACCCCGATCGAGGAGTGTGAAACGCTCTAAAATATAGGCACTTTATCTCCTTCCCCAAATAGCTCGGGTTTGGTTGCTACGCAAAGGAGACTTACCTTTTAGGGATGGTCTGCAGCAGCTCCGACATTTGTTTGATGTAGGTGGGGGCGAACAGGACAATCTCTTCCGTGGGAGGAATCTCCATTGGCATTACGGTGTTGAAGTAGAGGGTCCAGTTGATCTTGTATGCACCGACAAAGAGAAAAACACGAACTTGCGTATTTTATGCGTATACCCAACTCGACTTTCTGGGAAACCTCAAGATGACCGAACGCAATTCGTTGAGAGGCTTAGCGTTTTCCAGGTTCCGAATTAGCACAGACGGGATAGGAACGACCGGGAGATCTTTCAGTTGTTCCGCTCCCTGCGAGAGCTTCCTATGCGGAGGGCAAGTTCGTCTGCTTCTTGCGCAGGGGGTAGCGGTGACGTCAGAACGCCGAGCCCTGATTGGCTGATCGCGACCCCCTATCTGAGCGTCGTCTGCTCCTTTGCAACGTCGTCTGCTCGCAACGTCGTCTGCGTCTGCCTTACCTTTCCTGCGACTTTCGGAAGCGCAGAGGCCATATTCACGAAACGATCCTACGCCAAAAATGTGCGTAAGAGAAAACTTAAGAACAAATTCGTATTAACGAAACGAAATTTTTGTAAGTTTTGCGCAGGTTACGACGAAATCCTACGACAGCTCCGAAGCTGTCTTACGCACTTCTTACAATCAAATCAGCATGGCCGACAGCGTCGCGGCCGCGACGACCCACGGACATTTATTTTTCTACGTGCGCTTCTGACACGTCCCGACTTCAAGCAGCAAGAAAAAAGTAAAAAGTACTTGAAACAGACCTCGACGAACAAGAACGCTGGATCCACAAACACCCGGGAAAAGCTCCAACGGCCAGGATTCCACTGAACGCGACCAAATGAGCTGGGCAGTTAGGCCTAGCAGGCACTCCGCGACTCGGCGACCGTCTGTCCACGAACGGCTGGCGTGCTGAATCGAATGTGCCCGCGCGACCCTTGTGAACCCTTCCCGTATTATACTTTGATCGCTGACCTGAATTTTAGATTAAGTGGTCAATTTCTTCCTCTTGTTATCTCCTTGTTTCCCGAGGCAACGGTGACTCTCGCCGGTGAAAAAGCGGTGAATCTCCGACAGACGCAGGAAAGGTAAAGCGGCCATCGCTTTGACTAGCAGACGTAAAGCAGACGACGTTAACTGCGCCAACCCGCCGACGCCGTTAAAGAGTGAGGGGTCTCGCCGCACACGAATGGAGGGAAAAAGTATTTGGGAGGGAACTCGCGGACACTAACACGCTCACCTCTCGGTTCTTAGCAAACAAACCTCGGCGCCTCGGGACACCTCGCCAATGAGTCCTTTGACTTCCCTCCTTGATGCGCGTCTGCTAGTTGTTAAACAAAAACAACGTACCGCTCGAGTTATTTCGTCTGCCCTCTCTTAAAGGCGAAGTCGAGTTCGCTTCGAAAGTCGCAGGAAAGGTAAGAAGACGCAGACGATGTTGCGAGCAGACGCCGTTGCAAAGGAGCAGACGACGCTGAGATAGGGGGTCGCGATCAGCCAATCAGGGCTCGGCGTTCTGACGTCACCGCTACTTCCTTTCTCATGCGCAGAAGACGAAAAGGAGCCCACTTGCGAGGCGTATTCGCCTCGAGATCGAACCGTGCCGCCACCGTGCGGCCAAAATTGGAAACGCGCGAAAGCGGGGATACCGCCGTGCGTCGTCTGCTACGGGCGCACGCTCAGAAGCATGGAATTTCGACGACGCAAGCCCGTTTCAGGCTGAGCTTGACATTCCTTATTAAATGTTTTATGTTTTTGTTTCTGTTTCTTCTTACTAAAGGTTGTGTTGTATCGTTTGCCATGCGTAGAAATTCAGCAAAGCGATTATTATTAACTCGGAAGCTTCCATAATCTTAGTGTGTTGGTCCCACGTGTTTTTGTTATCTCGCACAAACCGTGGCTTTCGTAAAGCATTGAATGTTGAGTGGGCCTGTGGTTTGATTAGAAAATTAACCCGACTGATCGCTATCATTCAATAGGCTAATCAATCAATAAATCCGTACGTTAAATTTCCCCCGTCATATTGCGTGAAAGACGTTAGAACTACACATTTTTTTTACTGGTTTTACTATGTCTTAAATGGCATATTGCATTCCCATTCTAAACTTCACGTTGTGAGTCCTACATCAATATAAACACGGGAAGCCATTTAAAATGAAGTTTTTTTTTAAATTATGATTTAAACAGTATAATCACCCTCGACGAAGTGACAAGCACGTTGAAGTGGTTTACCGTGCAAGCCTGTGTCACAAAAGAAGTAAAGTCGTCAAAAATATTAAAGCAGGCATAATTTACTCCTTGTTGACTTCCTCCAGCACAAAACTCCAATTAACCGGCAAAAAAAAAAAAAAAAAAAAATTGCAATTAAAGCATTATTTTTACAGCATTATCGGGACTGGGCAGTTCATCGATTAACTAAAGTTAATCGATAAACTGCCCAGTCCCGATATATGTTAGGTGAGGGCGGAGGGTGATCGGAAAGTCTCGTGAAGGTCGCTAGCCCTCACGAGTAAAAGAGTATCACTGCGGCCGATGCTGTCTGTGTCGTGGTGCGCGTCGTTTGTTTGGGTTGCAAAGTCTACCGTGTTTGAATACAAGATTATTTAGCCAGAAATTTATAGTATTAGCATCTTGACATCCGCGGCCCTCACCAAGAAAATAGGAGCGGGTGAACCCACACTACCGAGACCACAACCACAGCGGGATTTGCGACCGTTCTTCTGAAGTATTTACAGTTCTTGTTGCGTTCTGTTATAGCGCCGTACGCCGATCCTGGATATCTTCGCCGCGTCATCCGCTGTTGGAACCGAAGATTGGCGACCCAGCAAGCCGTGTGTGCCTCCCCCCTGGAGCAAAATCGACTACACGTGCCACGGACGGCGACTGAGGCGACACCGCAACATCAGCATAAAAGGAGCGACAACCACAACCACAGCGGGATTTGCGACCGTTCTTCTGAAGTATTTACAGTTCTTGTTGCGTTCTGTTATAGGTAAGCTGTCACTCCCTCCTAACTACGAAACTTTGTGATTTCTGTTGTTACGGTTGCAAATCCCAGTAGTGTGTTTCTGTGTCGTAAGTTAGAATGGGTGACGACTTGTCAACTTACCGCATTCGAATTGGCCGGTTCTTTTCTCGTACAACTACAAAGACAAATAATAGACCACGCTTTCATCACTTAGCATTATACATGCAGACATGGTGCCCGGATGCCAAAATTTTGTTGATGTGTCTGTGTGTTGCACAGCTGTTAATCTGTGCTGGTGACGTGGAAACAAACCCCGGTCCCGATAAGCTGGATCAGATATTGGCAGCTGTGAAGGAATCTGTAGAATCAAACAAACTGTACCAGAAAGAAACAACACACAAACTAAACGAAATCAACGCAGGCATCAGTGATATTAACAGCCGTGTTTCAAATCTTGAAGAATCTATGAATGAGATTGCAAAGTTGAGGGAAGACCTGGTTACCGTGAATGCCGCAATTCGAGAAGTAAGAACTGAAGTAAATACCATATCTCGAAGACAGCGTGAATGTGAAGTCTTGTCAGATGAGCTGAATAACCGAATGAGACGCAATAACCTCATAATTAAAGGACTCCCAGAAAACGAACGTGAGAACTGGGCGGATTCCGAACGTATCGTGAAAACGTTTCTTTCTTCCAGCCTACACGTGAATGTTGGCGAAATTGAGCGCGCACATCGACTGGGCATGCGGAAACCTGGTTTTAATAGACCAATCATCGTAAAATTCTTGAATTTTAAATGCAAAGATGAAGTAATTAAGAACGCGCATAAACTAAAGGACGCTGCGCCCCCTGGTGTATGGATAGAGGAGGACTTCTCACCAAAAATGCAATTAGTAAGAAAAAAACTACGCGACTTTGCAAGACAAAGATTCGGGACTAGTAAGTTTAGGCTTTACTACGACAAAATACTCATAAATAATTCCTTCTATCGGTACGACTCGGACAGTGACTGTGTGGTAGAAAGCCCTAGGGCCCTGCCCGCCGAAACTAGAGCTTGACTGGGCGATAACAAAAACAACAAATGCAAAAGAAGACCTCGGGATCAGCTTTCTCTGATCTTGGCGAATTTTCGAAGTTTACTTCCCAAGCAAGATAATTTGTCTTCCAGTATTGAGGCCTGTTCAGCCGATGTAGTGGTGGGTACTGAAACGTGGCTTTCTAAAGAAGTTACAGACCGTGAACTCAGCATATCAGCATCGTTCCGAATTTATAGAAAAGACAGGACTGAATCTCGAGGCGGGGGTGTTATCATTGCTGTTAAAAGTGAATTAACTTCTTCTTTAGTTGATATTCCCAGTTATCTTGAAATCTTGTGGGTGACTGTACGGCTCAACTTTAAACCTTGTTTGATTGGAGTGTGTTATCGCCCGCCCGACTCATCATCTGACTTTGTAGATAAGTTAAATGCTAGCCTTGAACAAGTACATACCAAATTTCCAAACTCCCCAGTCATGCTTACTGGTGATTTTAATCTGCCTGGTATCAACTGGTCGACACAAGAGGTAGATAACTGTTGTGGAAATAAACAGGAGTGCAAGAGGTTCCTTGATGTTATGGAAGCCTTCCAGCTACGCCAAGTTGTGAAGGAGCCAACGCGTATTAACTCTGTTCTAGACTTAGTTTTAACAACCCACCCAGAAGCTATTGATGTCAAGGTCTTAGAATATATCAGTGACCATAAAATGGTGCATTGTGTTTTTGCTGCTCCTGTTCAGAGGCGGGAAGTTTTAAAGAAACATATTTTTGACTATGGAAGGGCCGACCTTCAATCAATGTTTCATTTGTTGTCTAATTATTCTTTTGATTTTTTGCAAACTTTGAACAACCGGTCTGTGAATGAAAACTGGGTGGCCTTTCGTAATAAAATAAATGAGGTGGCTGAACTTTGTATCCCGAAAATTACTATTTTGCCATGTGCCAGTAATCCTTGGTTTACGACAAATGTGAGACGTTGCATTAATAAAAAGAAACGACTTTTCTCAAAAGCCAAACACTCGGATCTTGATGGTGACTGGGAGTCTTATCGCGAGCACTCAAGATGGTGTAAAAAAGAAATCAAGAAAACAAAAGCTAAATTTT